GAAGCCGGTGGTCGCTCATGACGTCGGAGGTAGAAGGCGAATCGATTTTTGACGTGCAAAGGCTGCACTGGGAAAAGCTCCAGATACCAAGGCGCCGTTGCTCGCCCACTCGCACCCACCCTCCCCATCTACAGCCACCGCTCAACGTCCCAGCGCCCTTTCTTCACCGGCATGCGCAGTTGAACGTTTAAGAGGTGCTTTGAAGGTACGAGACTACGAAGCGTCGACGTGGCCGTGACGCCAATGCGTCACGAGGCGACTGAAAAGGCTGGATGGCGTCGCGAGCAGATTGGCGGGCGTGTCCAACTCGGCGACGCGTCCGTTGTCGAGGACGAGGATCCGGTCGGCGTCGAGGATCGTGTTGATGCGGTGGGCGATCGTGATGCACGTGCAGTGGTGGAACGCGGCGCGGAGCGTCTCTTGCAGCGCCGCGTCCGTGGCCGCATCGATGGACGCGGTGGCTTCGTCCATGAGCAACACGGTGGCTTTCTGGAGCAGCGCGCGCGCAATGCACAGCAGTTGGCGTTCGCCGACGCTAAAGTTGACGCCGCGCTCGTCGACGATCGCGTCGAGACTCGTCACCTACAACGTCGAGTCATCAAATGCGAGCGGTTGGGAGACTACCTTGGTGTCGAGGTGCGCGCGCTTGAGCGACGTCCAGAGCGCGTCGTCGTCGAACCGGTCGAACGGGTCCAAGTTGGAGCGCACCTATAGGGTACTCTTGTCGTAAATCAAGGCCACGATTCGGTCCAATTACGGAGCCAGAGAAGAGGATCGGGTCTTGTGGAATGATCGCGATGCGGTCGCGGACGTCGTGGAGTCCGAGCGTGCGCAGGTCGACACCGTCGATGGCTATGTGACCGCCTTCGACTTCGACGAGCCGGAGCAGCGCGACGACGAGGCTCGACTTGCCGGCGCCCGTGCGTCCGACGACGCCGACCTTTTCCCGCGCCCGAATCGAAAACGAGACGCCGTTTAGCACGAGTGGGAGGCCCGGACGGTAGCGCAGTTGCACCTACATCGCCACCAGCGTCACCTCTTGCAAGAGACACAGATAGGGAGGCGTACGTTGGTAAAAGTGACGGCGCCAGCGTGCGGCCACGACGTGGGAAGCGCCAGAGTTGACGCCAAGTCGGCTTCGGGCGGCAGCTGCGCGTACGCGACGAGGCGCTCGATCGAGACCATGTCCGTCTCGAGCTCGCTCACGGTGGTCACCGAGAGGTTGAGGTTGCGCGTGATCTGGAACGCGTACGAGAGCGAGACGCCGACGAGCGCCGCAAACTCGGTCGAGGCCGACGGCTTGGCAACAACTGCGCTCAAGGCTGCGAACGTCGCGACGAGTGTGCCCACGAGCTCGAGCCGCAGCCCGAGCCAGCACGCGACGGCAAAGTTGAGCAGCGCCGCGCGCTGGTTCGTGTCTAGCGCGGTATGCAGCCGGCGCGTGAACGCGCCTTGGACGCTCGAGGCCGTGATCGTCGAGAGACCGTCGAGGGTCTCCGTGACGAGCGCGAGGATCGGCGACCGCGACGTCGCCTCGAGGCGCTGGAGCTCCCGGGACGTGGCAATGTAGTACTGCTGCGCGCGGTAGTAGAGAACGCCGATTGGCGCCAAGCACAGGCCAAAGAGCGGCGTGACGTACGCGATGGTCGCGATGGTCGAGAGCACCGCGAGCGACGTGGCGAGGAGGCTGCCCATCGCCGCGGGCAGGTCGTCGTCGGCCGTGTCGACGTCTTTCGAGAGCCGGTTCACAATGCGGCCGAGCGGCGTCGTCTCAAAGAAGGAGACGGGCGCGCGCAAGAGCGCCTGCAGGAGCTGCGCAAAGAGGCGGCGCGACCCGCGGAGACCGACGAGCGAGATCGCGAGCGACCGGCAGAAGAGACAGCCCACGAACGCGACGTTGAGAGCGACAAAGATGCCGAGGTAGACGCTGCCGTCCTCGTCGTCGCCGGCGGCCATGTGCTCGGACCAGACCGCGAGCCAGAGCGTCGACGCGAGCGTCAGCGCTTGGGCGAGGACAAAGAGGCCAACGACGAGGGCGCCGAGCCCGACGCCGCCGCACGCGCGCAGCCAGACACGGTAAATGTCGCGGTGCACGTGGCCCACGGCGCGGTCTTCGGTCGTGATGAGCGACGACGTTGTTGTTGTCATGGTTGTTGTTGTGCATAGTGTTGGCATGTTGGTTGCAGCCTCTGGCGACGTCGATGCGTCGGGACGGCGACTGTCGTCGTCGTCGTCATTGTCGTCGTCGTCGTCGGTCGAGGCTGGCGTGTCCACAGTGCCAGTGCCGAGCTGGAACGTCGCGACCATGGCCGCGAGGCGGCTATTCGATTGCAGGGCGAGGTCTGGGAACGACCCGGCTTCCACGACCGCGCCCGCCTCGAGCACGAGAACGCGGTCGCAATGCGCGAGGACGCTGAGCTGGTTGGTCACGAGCACGACGATCTTGGTCGCGAGGCGGTCGCGCACGCAGCGCTGGAAAATGTCGGCGCCCACGTGGCTGTCGACGGCCGCGAGAATGTCGTCGAGCAAATAGATGTCGGCGTCGCTGTACATGGCCCGCGCCAGTGCCACGCGCGTGCGCTGGCCGCCGCTGAGCGTGATGCCCTTCTCGCCAATCTCCGTGCTGTCGCCGTGCGGCAAGACGCGCAAGTCGGGCTCCAAGCAGCTCACGCGCACTGCGTCCGCGTACTTTGCAGCCTCGAACGGCAGGCCAAAGGTAATGTTGGCGCGGACGCTGGCGTTCTGGATGAACGGCTGCTGGCTCACGTACGCAACGGAGCCAAACCGGTGCACGTGGCCATGCGTGCAGTCGACGTCGCCCAAGAGACCGTGCAGCAGCGTCGACTTGCCGCTGCCCACGGGCCCGATCACCGCAATCAGCGACGGCGAGCGCACGTGCAAAGACACGCCACGCAGGCGGTCTTCCAAGTTGGCCTCGTGCATGTCGACGCCAGGCGACGTCAAGGTGCCGGGACCCACCGGCGTTCGCTCGTGCGATGCCAAGAACGCCTCGAGCCGCGTCGCACTGGTGTACGCTTCGACGACGGCGTGGAGCACCTGGGGAAGCTTGAAGAGCGGGAACCGGAGCACGTTGAAGAGCGCGACGGACGTCAGCGCCGTGCTCACGTCCAGCTCGTTGCCCAAGAGCACGTACGCGCCCAGCGACGCGGCCGCGACCAGCGACGGCACGCCCGTGTAGAGCGACGTCGCGGCCGCTTGGATCGAACTGTAGACGCGGAGGAGGCCGAGCTCGGCGTCGCGGTACGAGAGGATGCGGTCCGCAAAGCTGAGCTCCCACGCCTGGAGCTTGAGCACCTTGATGCCGGCGAGGACTTCGTAGCAGAGCTTGCCGCGCGTGTCTTTGACGGAAAGCAGCGACGACTGGAGGCGCCGCATGATCTTGGAGAGGAGCGTCGTGATCGGAATGACGAGGAGGATGACGCCAAGACCCGCCACGAACGCGACGCCGAGCTCGTTGTAGAGAAGCGTGCAGGCAACGACGAGGAGGTACGGGACGACCCAGATCGTGTGGAGGTTGAAGAGTGCCTTCTGGAGCCGCGGCGCGTCGACAGCGATAAAGTTGGAGATCTGGCCGGTCGAGGTTTCCTGCAGTGCTTGGGTTGAGAGCTTGAGCGACTTGGCGTACACAGCAGTCGCAACCGCGCTCTTGACTTGCATGCCTGTCTCGCACAAGATGAAGGCGAGGTGTCGGAACGAGAAAGACTGAGCGAGCTCCGAGGCAAAGACGATGACGACGAGAACGTAGCCGGACGACAGTGGTGCGTCGTCGTCGCGGAGGAAGGCGATCATGCGCTTGATGACGAGCGGCGACACAAACTCGAGGGAGAAACCGCAACAGCCCCGCCAAGAGGAAGCGGGCACCGAACGCTCGGAAAAGCGCACGCACGAGGGACGGCGACGGCCGCGCCAGCTCTTGTTGCCAGCACTCTTCAAAGCGGGAGGCGACGTTGGCAGCGCGATATTCAGGCTCGAGCTCGTAGAGATCGTCCGCGT